CCTTAGTCAGGTGTTCAGGTCTTGGGTGTGACTATTGTTATATAGAAGTAGAAAATCACGTCATAAAACTGGTGTAGAAGTCAAGATGGTAGATATTGTTTCCTGGATGTCTGTTTCTGGAAAACCCTTCACCCTTGGAACATAAAGGCATGGCATCACAGGAGTATATAACTTCAGTCCTGCCACAGAGAGGACTGTGGATGTGTTCTGACTTGGCATCTAAAAAAACAGACACAGAAACTGGGCGTTTGGGAAGCAACTAGACTGCAGGAGTGATTTGTAACCTCAGCCATTGAGAATTGAGTGTCCTCTTGATCTTTAACCCCCTTTATTATGTGCCGAACACAGCACAGGTGTAAACTCTCGGAGAAAGCACCCTGTATCCTCATCAACATGGCAGGAGTCTTGCTTGATCCCGCATGTGGAAAAATCAATTTGTTTGTTTAAAAAATACTTTCTACAGTTCCTGGAGGTAGGCATTCACTGGCACTGAAGGAAACTGGAAAAAGTAGTCTGGTTTTACTTGGCTGTTAGAGTAGGTCTGAAATGTCTGATCCAGTCAGAGAAAACCTGTCAAGTTAAGTGCTTTCAAGTTCTCCTCAAATTTCATCAGTACTTTTATTATAAATAAAGCTTGTTTGAGCCCAAAATGATGATGTTTAAGAATCATTATGGTTTCCAGAGCATCGTGTTGGTGAATAAATGCATGAGAGAGAAGAGTTAGAGATGTGGCATTCTCAGTCCCCTTAACAGTTAGACTGTGTTCCGCTGCTTTTAGACGTCACACCCAGACTTAAGAGTGGCAAATTGTATTTTTCTGGAAGAAAACAAACTATAACTTTACTAAGTAACTTACTAAGTGGCCGGAGTTACACTGGAAGGAAAAGAAAAAATATCATTGTTTAAAAATTTGTGAAGGATACAATGGGAAATGTGTCATCTCCTCATGGGCGTCTTGTGTTGAAATCTGAACGCCACTGTGCACTGAGGCTGCGTTGCCGTGTGGCGTGATTCTCGGTGAGTGTTATTTGCTCTGCAGTGGTAAATAGTGCTGGAGCATTTCCAGTACACCTGTTCTGCAAGTTACACTTTCATACCTCAGCAATCAGATTGGTATCATGCAAAATGGAGATCTAACCTTTATGTGCCTGAGTAAACTGGCTCGCTTTCTGCTGTGCACAGAAAGGACAATCGCAAAAGCACTGTCCTAAGAGCCTCTTTGGCATACTCCACTTCACAGACGAAATAGTTGTCTTAAGCAGGAAAACTAAATAAAACGATCTTTAGCTATCTTCTCCGTATCAACAATGTCAGGCTTGTGTCAGGATATACGACCTTAATGATTTCCATTTGCTTTATTTGCCAGTTACCCATGGTTGGCAGGGACTGGACGGCAGATCAGAGGTCTTGCTCATGTCTGCTAGCCAGGCCGGTCCTCCGATCGTGTCACAGCTGCTCGCTGGCACCAGTCTGGGATCTGGGAGGAGCACGCGTGCTACTGCAGAGAGGCAAAGCACTGCTTGGGTCTCACGTCGTTTAATAAAACTCAGGGATATGAACCCTTAATATAAACCCATTCTTTCTTCAGTTGTTGCTTTAAAAAGAAAACACCCAATTGGAAATGTTCCTGTACAACTGAGATTCTTAAAGCCATGTCCTGAGGATCGCTGACCTGTGACAGAAACTGAACAGAGAGGCAAACAAAATACGAAACAAAAAAAATACAGGTATTCGAGGAATAAACAGATTCAGGTGTCCTATAACTTTACATGTTTCTTTGGTTGTAAGAGATGTGTATATGTGTATATGAATTACGATTATCTTTCTTTTAAAGAAAGACAGAACGCTCACCACACATCAGCTATTAGTGGGGAGGAGAGCAGAGTGATGAAGCCAGTTCAGAGATGGGGATTATTAGGAGGCCATGATTGGTAAGAGCCAATGGGAAATTTGGCCAGGATGCCGGGGTTACACCCCTACTCTTTTCGAGAAATGCCCTGGGATTTTTATTGACCACAGAGAGTCGGAACCTCGGTTTTACGTCTCATCCGAAGGCAGCAGAGGGACATGAGTAATGTATCACAGGAAGGCATTTGTCCCATCTAGCTTGTTAAGTTGCCAGTAGGTCAGTTATCTGTCCATCTCATCCTGCCATTTCGTGAAGAAAGCCAGAGTATTGGCTTGAGCAACATGGCTGAGCAGCTTGTTCCACGCTCCCACAACCCTTTGTGTAAGAAGAGCCTAATGAATTCTTGAATACTAGAATTGGGTCCTGGACCTTTAAACCGCCCTAGGTCTGGCATTCTGGCGGTCTGCTTTCCTTCATTGTTTTATTCGCAGAACAGCAATCGCTTTTTTTGTGGGGGGAGAAGTGGTGACCAAAATTGAGCATATTATTCTAAGTGTGATCTGACGTGTGTATTGCATGATTTGAACATTGTGTTCTACAGCTATATATCTAACTTTATTGGTGTGACCATCCCTGAAGTGTTGTAATTGCTGTAATTGTACCCCGGTGAAGCCACAGAATGGACTCTTAGAGTCAATGGGCTCCTTCCTCTCGTTACTCCTGGATGCGCTATTGAAAAGAAAAGGTACGTGGAGGAATTGGAGCTGTTCCTGGGGCCAGGGGGCTCACCTTTTCCCTAATTCAGGGAACGAGCCTTCAGCCTTGGCCCCTACAGCCCTCCCCTGCACCGCCTCTCCTGCAGGAGTCTGGGCAGAGCCACCCCTGCTGGCATGGCTTCAGTGTGTTTAATAATAAGCCAGAGGAAGGGAGGAGACATGATAGGGTTCAGAACAAGAGATGCTCTCAGATTTTCCACCCATTGATTAATAGAATTTTATGGAGGGACGCCTGTTACCATAGTCCATGTTTGAGCAACAGCCACACTTTATCAGAGCACAGGCACTGCCTCCAAGGGTTGTAAACACTCAATAAACCCTGCTTGACCTTGAATCTTCCCGGAAGCACTGGATGCAGTGGTCTGGAGTCCTTATCGGATATTTTCAAGGGTCAATTCAACAGGGGACCCGCAATTCACAAGATCCATGTCAGTGGTGGAAAACAACGGAGCGGTCTCGGTCTCGAGCACCGTAGCCGAATATGCATGTCATGATTATTAGATCACTGTACGGCCCTCCTCTGCTTCAGCTTCCGTTTTTAATGGAACTGAATTTACAGAGTGGCAGATGGTGTTTTGAAAAGAGAAGGAGGAGATGAAAATTTCAGCACAGTCTTGACAAATCAAAGCAAGCACTCCGCCATCTGCAATGAGACTGATATGAGAGCAGTTTCAAAACAGAACAGCTTACTGCTGAAGGACTCAATTCAGAAACTTAAGACCCCTCACAGTCATCAAAAGTAGTCTCTTACATACAGCATGATCAGAAAGTTTTTTGATGTAGTGTCATTGCACCTGAGTTAATTAAGAATTGAGCTCCATACAAGGTGATTTTGTTTGTTTTAAAGTAGGGGGTGCTAACAAACGCCTCATTTAGGCTTTTATTTTAATGATCTTATGTATGCTTGCTTACATATTTTCACAGATATATTTAGGAATGTTTGAAATTTTGTTTTTTTCAAACTTTTAATGAGTGGCTGGTTTCCATATTGTATGCTCAGCTAACTGCCTGTCATAACAATAAGCCCATAAACCCAGAGGGACTTATGCTTCAGTGTTATTCAGCCTCACGGTATTATATAGAAATGACCTTTGTCAAAATGGCTGCCGAGTTGATGCAGTGGGAGTCTGAATCACTGTTTAAAATTCAGTGTTGTTCCAAGGGAGCACAATACATCTTTGTGATAGGTTTTTTTTATTTTATATATTACATTTATGTTGTTTTCCTGAAGCGAGACTTCAAGTGGAATGAGAGGTGTGCTAAAAGCACTCGTAACCATAGCCTCGAAGCAATGTGGCTGCAGCACAGGCAGGTACTGACTGCTGCGCTTGTCTGTACTGTGTGCTGCCCTCTAGAGGACAGTAACGAGTACTTGATCACTCATGCCATGGCTTCATTTTACCAAGAGGAAGAAACCTTTGAGTCACCTAACAGTGTAGTGTTTGATTTGACAATAAAATGCACTTTTTGATATAACAGATATAAGGAGATTGTTTGTGTGGCACATGTGGTTATTCTGCTGACCTTTTTATTGCTTTGAACCAGCAGCCATCCGATGTTGAAGCCCAAGTTTTTGCCTGGTGGCCGTTTTAAATTGAATTAAAGCAAAAAACAAAGAGTCTGGCATTCAGATACCAGGGTTGTGTGTGCAGTTAGCTGGTTGGTGGGAGGAAATTGTGATTTTAACCAGGCACAGCTCTTGTTAGTTAATGTGACCAAACTACCCCAGGATAAAGTCTTAACTACTGCACACATAATCCTAGTCATACTTTACCAAAAGATTTGTTTCTGCTCTATTCCGATCTGCTGATGCAACCTATTGTTGATCGCAGAAGAAACCTCTTTTAATTCCCATATAGAAAAAGTGACAAGGTGATGATGTGTAAGGAGACCCATCCTGTGATGAGTTGGCCTCACATCTACTTGTAACATATCAGGACAAAGTTTAAGACCCCAGAACACAAAGTACACATAAATGCATTTAAAGAACTGAGAGTTTTTCTTTCCTAAAAGGCTTCCTGCAAGCAGGGCCTGGTTTGAATGGAGGCTTTGGACATTTCTAAAATCACCATTTTGTCCTTTTGCACCTTTTCTACAAATTTTACTTGTAGGCAGCACCTGTGTGCTTTCTGTAACATTCCCTCTACTATCTCTACTATTATCTTCTGAGCTTGTCCCTTACAGGCATTAATGCACGCAGAATTGTAGCAGATTTATTGGCAGTGAAAGAGAACTGGGGAAAAGGTGTTCCATTGGCCTTATCCCATTGTGTGTGGCTGGAGCTCTGCACAGTCAGCTGCAGTCATGTTCGTCTTTCAGTCTGTTCAATGTCACAGGAGTCCTAAACTGTGTTTTCCCTCCCTGTCTTCCTGCAGCTGAGGGGCTGCCCCAGGTGTACTACTTCGGTCCCTGTGGGAAATACAACGCCATGGTTCTTGAGCTGCTAGGCCCCAGCCTGGAGGACCTGTTCGACCTGTGTGACCGGACCTTCTCCCTCAAGACTGTGTTAATGATAGCCATTCAGCTGGTAAGGCCGCGCTCCATTCCCCTGGCAAACACCAGGGGGCGACATCTTGCGTTTGGAAGCTCCACTCTTCACATCCTGTTCTCCTCTGAACTTTTCCCCCGGAGGTCACATGCCTGCCACTGTGGGACCCGCTGCCCACTGCTGGGAGTTTTGCTTTTCTGTGCATTTTGGTTAGTAAAACAGCTTTCAATATGTCTCAAGCAGACGGAAGATGTTGCTGTCAAAAGGGCATTTGGGTAAATGCAGTTTAAAAACCCCATGAAAATGTCATGTTGCTGATATGATTCAATATTAAAGAGTCAGGTGGAATGAACACTCATGCTTCTCTTTTCTCTGCCTAGGTAAGGGTAAGATTTTTTTTTTTACAGTTCAAATACCTTTGGTCGATGTGCTTATACTATTATAATGGAAAAAGCACAGGAGCACCTCTTGTAGTACACAAAAGCATTGGGCTTGCTGTCGCGCCATTTACAGTTTGCCAGGAGTTCTGAACTCTAATAGGCGAGGGAATATTGGAAAACATTAACGCTTGTCAAGTCTAGCATTAGCTGCATGATATGAGCCTTATCTTAGAGTAGGAAATTGATTTTTTTGTGTTATACTATTATAGTAGTGAAAACAGATTGTGCTTGGCCTATTTAACTGTATATTTTAAGAAAGGCCCACAGATTTATGACATAAACCCTAAGTACATAGTTATTCACACTGTAAAGGGACATTGTTTTTTATGCTGCATCATATCTACTGAGTCTTTTTTTAAACAACCAAAATTCAGCTTTACAGTTGTATGAAACAGTTTTGGCATGTCCGTGACTTTATCCCAGTATAAGAATCCTTTCCTTAGGCACAAAGCCTTTAACAATGCTCTCTCCGTCATGAGGAGATCTGTGGAAACGGCCTGCTCTTTTCCTGACCAGTCCTGGTTGGTGTTGGGCACTGTTGCACTGTCACTAGAAATCTGTACAGAGTATAGGTTGATGCCTGCCATTTCCAAGCAGTAGGACTCTCTGTAATTGGCATGATAGCCTTTTCCCATACCAGATACTCAGGAGCCTAGTCTTAAGCTACAGGAAAGCCTTTTTGGCGTCGTTTGGTGTCGAACAAAGAGATAATTGAAAAGTGTTAGGTGTACTGATTGTTTTTTCTTGGTGTCCCTCCTCTTGCGCCCCAGATCACACGGATGGAGTATGTGCACTCCAAGAACTTGATCTACAGGGACGTCAAGCCAGAAAACTTCCTTATTGGCCGGCAGGGCAACAAGAAGGAACACATTATTCACATCATAGACTTTGGCTTGGCCAAGGAATACATAGACCCTGAAACCAAAAAACACATCCCTTACCGGGAACACAAGAGCTTAACAGGGACAGCCAGATACATGTCCATCAACACACACCTCGGAAAAGGTAGGTCCCAGCAGTGACTAAGTCTGCTTGTTTTTTTTTAATCCCTACCCATGTACCCTGCGGCTGTCATAGCAACGATGCCGGCCAGCTGGGGTGCATGGAGGATTGTGGGAAGCATTCTGGTGTCATCAGTGTATCCATAATAAGGTTGTGGTGGATCCTACAATTACATCTTTCTTTCATATGTATCTTTTTCAATTGTCCGCCTACGATACTGGAAACCTGTCACAAGGCACATTAGAAAAACCTGACCCATGTTTGTTGCATGTTTGATTGCCAAATGAGCAACATTAGTGGTTCATGATAGCTATAGGGTAATGGGAGATATTTATCTGGGATGCTGCCCTTACTGTAAATATGGTGCGTCAGCATACGTAGGCTGTAAAGCACCAAGTAACAGGTTTATTCCCTGCTGAAAAGAGAAGAGAGAAAACACAACGTTTCGGCTGTGGAGCCCTTTTGGGGTGTGCTCCACAGCTCCACAGCCGAAACATTGTGTTTTCTTTCTTCTTCTTTTACCAGCATGGAATAAACCTGTTACTTGTTCCCTTACTGTAAATATTATACCTTGTGCTCTTTTTTTACTAATATATTTTTGTCCTTAAACTTTTAAAACTGTCTGACCAGCGGCTCAGGGACTTTTGACCCAAAAGCCCTTTCTCATTTAAGACTGACCCCTTAGCTGGAATATGAAAGCTAATGGCCCTTTTTTAGAAAATCAAAGACAATTTGGTACCAATATGTCTTTTGAATGACCCTTACGGTGGTTTTACACGAGGAAGAGGAAGGTGGCCCTTCTTGGGTAAACACTATCACTGCTGGTCCCTGAGTCTCTGTCAACTGGATCGTTTATTCAGAGGCCTCACATTTCCTCCTGCATATTATTTCAAAGAGATTCACACATTCTTAGAATGCGTCATGAATATGGTTATGTGCCATGAAAAATCATTATGTGCTGTGTGTGGTAAAGTTCAGCTGTCGATTCAGTGTTTACTGAAGGTTTTGTGACAAAACCATGAGCTGATTTCACAGTTGATAGAAGTGCATGCAGTGCATCACAGACCACAAGAGCTGTGCAGTTCTGAGTTCTGAAGTGAGCTGGACCGGACAGATATTTTTAGGACTTTCAAGTCTTCATAAGCTTCAGAAACGTTTTGACACGTTCCCACGGTTTTAGCAAACAGACCAAACCGTGCTTCTGTTTGTGTAATCCATATGGTTACGCCTCCGGCACTCAAACATAGCCTCATGCTGGGAACCCTTAGCTTTGCCTTAGAATCAAAATATTGGTACTCTGTGGAGATGAAGTGAGGCACTGTTTACAAGACAGGTGGTGTAATAACAGTTGGGACAGGTGACCTCCTAAGCATGTCCTTCTTCTGAGCATATAACAGCTCTGAATCCTCCATCAACAGCCCCTAAAACAGGGCTGTGTAGTGGTCAGTGAAGTTGAACTGCTTGTTGCCTTCCATTACACACGTCACCTTCCAGTGTATTTGTCAGCATTACTTGTTTTTGTTTTGCTTCTCTTTATGCCACATTGAATCCAATGATTCTGTGACCATCCAGCGCACAACACTGGAGCTTCACGCACAGATGCATGGTGCACTGCCCTTCAGCCTCTTACTCTCGCATTATATAGGTGGAATGGATATTGTCTGAACAAACACTGGGGTGTAGAAGTCAATAGTTTCTCATCACATTGTTTGTATTAACATAACAAATGAAATGGGTGAGCATGTTTAGCCAGTATCTTGTTTAATAAACTGCTAGCCTGTTTGAGAGTGGATTTAGGGAAAGCCACTTGAAGGCCTCACTCCGTGGCTATGTGTTATTCAAGGCTAGGGGGCTATGAATCTGTGGATAGTTTAACTCAACAGGATTTCAGGATTATGCAGTGAGGCTGCCATGTGAGACTGTGTAAAGACTGTATGAAAACATCCAGTTTTCTAGCCCAGGGCAGGGGTGCAGTGCAGTAATGGGTTCTAAGATTTATAGCCCCAATGGAGAGTATCAAAAAAATGGATGACATAGATCTTCATTCATGTTATTAAAATATGTTCTTTAATCTTTAAGATCTTCTCTCCAGTTTGCAGGAAATAATACTGTACACTTTCCTGTCTTTGTCCTTTCACGTTCTCTCAATAAATAGGTCTGTGCCCCAGGATCTTTCTGTTTTTTGAGTGCTTCAGGTACTCAAGTATATTTTGAAATGTATTGTGTTTGAAATTCAGGAAAAGGTATCTGGGTCTGGTGTTCTAGGCAGAATCTGTTTTCCAAAACTAAGAAGACAGAGCATAGATTTACAGACCTTTTGGGTCCATCTCGTGCCCTAGGTTGCTAGTGGCTAATTGATCAGAGGATCTCCTGCAGCTATTTCCTGACAGAAGTCATGTATCCTGACGGCTTGTTTCAGACTCCCACAAAGCATTTGTGCAAAAAATACCCTCTGGTCTGGGTTTTAAAGACACTTCCCTCTGGTTTCTACTTCTGTTCTCTGTTGCTGTTCTCTGGTGTCCAGAGCAGAAATATCTTTTTCTCTCTTGTAAAGTGGTGATGAAAAGGTGCTCTAAAGGAGGTCTTAGTTAAAACATATACAATTTCAATCGAACATCTTAAAATTCTACCCTTTTAACTACAGGAATATATCCTGACATGGTTTGCCTCTTTTACTGCTTCCTTGTTGTCCAGAAGATTTGAGTGATGTTAACATAAACATTTAAGTAGTATAAATACATTTTCAAATCCTAGATTTGGAATATGTATGTTTTCACTTTCTTTCTAAAATAATAGTTGTCTGCTACTCTATACTTGTCTTCATTGAATCTCACTTGCCAGGTGTGTGCCCAGTTTTCAGTTTTGCCTTAGTGGTTCTGAATTTTCTTTGCAGCTTCTACAGTGGTTGCTAAGCCTTGTGTTCTTGTATCTTCCGCTGCGGGACAGTCTGTGTTCTCTGCTCAGTGGTTTCATACCCTTTCAGGGGTTTGAATGGACTAGGCTTGACGTCTTGTTTTCATCTGCTTTATTTCCAAGAGCAAAGTCGTCGGGACGACCTGGAAGCCTTAGGCCATATGTTTATGTATTTTCTTCGGGGCAGTCTTCCTTGGCAAGGACTCAAGGTATGTCAGGGACAACACTTTTGGTTTTTGCTTTGTCTGTGGGAGGATTGGCCCATCCTGCATGTTTTGTAGGCAACCCCTAAGGTCTGATCTAAAAGATCTAACTTTCTTTGTTAGACATTTTAGGTCAGTTTAACAAGCTACAGTAAGTGTTCAGAAGAGTGTACTGGAAGATTGCATGATGCTAATGGTTTCATTCTGTGAGATACCAAAATAAATATTTGGTAAACAGATTGCTCACCTATGTGCTTAGTTGTTCCATGAAATTCTGCAATTTCCTATTTTAAAGCCGGCTGTATTGTGGCTATCCAGGACTGTTCTGTCTAACAGCTCAAGTTCATACAGTGGCCAGCAGAAATATTACAGAACCCACTTCACAGCTATTAATTCATCCATTTCATAAACTGTAGCAATGACAATACAATTGACAATTGTAGCAATACAATTTAGCATTGACAAAATTATTAGTATATAAAAAAGTTGAATGGCTTAATATTTTCTATTATATCCACCTGATTTGGAATGACCAGGTGTCTCGGCTCTGAGCTGGTAACCCTGCCACCACACACGGGAGAAGGAGGAAGTTCAGTCATGTTCCCCTGACCTGCCCACCTTTGAGCCTCTTAAATAGAATATATTCCTTACACTTGTTCTGGACACTCCACTCAAAGCGCCTCACAGGCAATGGGGACTCACCTCCACCATCCATCTCCCCACACAGCAGCTCTCAGTGGGGAGGAGAGCAGAGTGATGAAGCCAGCTCAGTGGGGGGATTATAAAGGAGGCCATGATTGGTATAGGTCAGGGGAAAGTTTGGGCAGGGCACCGGGGTAGCACCCCTACTCTTTTTGAGTTTCTGGGATTTTTAATGACAAGGGAGAGAGTCACGACCTCAGTTTCACAACTCAGCCAAAGGACAGTGCCTTTTTACAGGTGTGTGGGGTATTTTTAAAAAATAGCGTTTTAAATGTTCAGGCATTTTAAGTGTTCTAACAGGAACTTATGGGACCTTAAAGGGTTGAAAAGTGTATTTCTTCTTTTAAAGATCTAAGATGGTTAAGGTTACCGACAGTGGAAGCCCATTCACCATAGCTGTACACGCAAAGGAAGAGGCGTTGCTGACCTCCTGCAGGGTCTTCTGGAATGATAGAAAATGCTAAGTAAACTTGATCTCGCATCTTCACTTCCTGCTTGTCTTGCAGGCAGACACCCTGAAAGAACGATACCAGAAGATTGGAGACACGAAACGCAACACTCCCATCGAGGTTCTCTGTGAGAACTTCCCAGGTGCTGTGAACTTTGACCTTCAGCCTTTGACTCCTCTCCAGTTACTTTTATCTCGTGAAAATTACCCAGGCACCCCTGGATTTCCTGTTGGGGGTGATTTAGTGTGGTTCATGTCCTGGTTGTTGAGCAGATGTATGCAGTCTGTGTAGTTTGCACCACCCCAACAAGGAACTTGGATTGAGAAACCCATCGCTCGACATAATACTCTAATGTTTTAAATTTTTTCTCAATACAAAAATGTTTTGAACAGTTACAAGGAAGATGGTCTTCTGAATTATTCACATTTTGGCTTCAGAAACCCCTAGGGTGTTGCACACTTTCTGCAACCCCAGCCCACGTTCACAATCCCAGCTCACACCCACATCTGAGATATACTAGCACACATGTTCTCTCTCCTGGCCTCCCACTGTTAACTCCCTGCGTGCTTTGCTGTGTGTTGCTGTGTTGCTCTGTTGGTTGCTGTTGCTGGTCTAGGGACAAGGGCGATTTCTGTCAGTTAGAATATGATGAAGATCTTATTTGACCCTGCTAGGGCTAAGAAAGGTTTGACAGTTTGCCCACTTCTCTGCACAATAAAAACATAGTTCACACTTACAGGTTGATTCTAAAAACCTCAGCAAATGACAGTTTTCAAAGCATTGGATATCAACCAGTTTCTCTAATTTTCCTCTGTATTCAACAATTAAGCTGTTCTGCATATCCAGAGTCGATGCTGGCAGTGAGGAGTCACCAAATAGTCATTCCATGTTTATTGGCAGTTCCTTTTTGCAGTTGCATGTTTTAAAATATTTGTGTACATCTTGGGCTAAAGTAATTATTGGAAATGACACTCATGTGCACCTCATTTCAATACGCTTATGTCTTTTCTGCTATAATAGCATAAGAAAGTTGGCCAATGAGGAGAGGCAATTGGGCTCATCTTGCTTGTTCTGTGATTAGTAGCTAATTGATGTAAGTGGCTAAGATGACTGGGGTGCTTTGTTTCACACTCCCACAGTCCATCGTGTAAGGAAGTGCCTCCTTGTTTTAAATGCCATCCCACATTATTTCCAATGGGACTCGCACCCCATACCAGTCCAGTTCTTCCGCTTCATTCCTCTTTGATACCAGTAAGCCTTTTGCACTAGTTGATGAGCAGTTGTACGGTAGCTGAGCTGTACCTGTACCCCCTCGTCTAACGGTGTCTCCTTTCTCATTCCATTTCCAGAGGAGATGGCTACGTACCTGAGGTATGTGAGACGGCTAGACTTCTTTGAAAAGCCGGATTACGAATATCTGAGGACGTTGTTCACAGAGCTGTTTGAACGGAAAGGCTACACCTTCGACTACACGTATGACTGGGTCGGCCGGCAGATTGTGAGTAATGGCAATTCGAGATCACGACTGAGCCGCCAACAGCTTGTGTCCTACAAGGACGTGTTCTGCCGAGTGAAATAATATAGAGAGTTTCCCTCTTTTGTTGTGGACTGGTTTCCGGTTTGCAAAATTCAGGGGCTCCATGTACGTTAAACGCTTTTAAAAATGATCTGCTGCCTGTTGATTCAATTGATCTGTGTTGTTGCCGTTTTCCTGCTCTAATTTAATACTGTTTTTAATCCAAGTGTGTGAGAGTCTTTGGCAGAGAAGATGTGGCGTAAAAAGAATTGAGGATTTTCAGACTTTAAATAACAGGAGTGCTTTAAAACCAGCTGATGAGCTCCTTATTTCAGAAGGCAGTCCTTTTCAATCTCTTGTCTCCTCTATAGAGGACAACCCAACTACTTAAGACAGCAAGATGATTTGATGAGGCAGTATGAGATCCTGACGAGTGGTTGCAAATAGCCAGCAGTGATTAAAGTTTCTGACTGAAAGTACAGTTGTAGTGCATTTTAAGCTTACAGTAGAAACTAAACTAATTAATTTGCTGGATGGAGGACCTCTTCACTGCGTCCTTGAACTTCTTTGAAGATTGCATCAAACGGAGGAGCGCTGATTCTGTTCGAGCTCTGAATCCGCCAGGCCCCAGCTCAATCGGTGTGCTTTGCTTTTCGTGTGTGTGTGTGTGTCTGTGTTTCCCGCAGCCCACGCCCGTGGGGTCTGTCCATGTGGACTCGGGAACGTCGGCGATCACGCGAGACAGCCACGTCCACCGCGACCGGCCGTCACAACACCAGCCGCTCCGGAATCAGGTCAGGGAACGTGTCCTGCTCCGCGCTCTGCCTGCTCGGTCAGCTCCTGCCCGGCACAGGGGCTTTCACTGAGTCACACAGCTGGGCCTCATGAGCCTGCCGGTGAAGGGCTTTAATGTTGACCTTGCACAGCTTCTTGATTTTATTTATAACAGACAGAGAAAACATCAAGCATGTAATGTCATTCAGCGGAGATGTATTCAATCTATATTCGTAAGGCTTTTAACTATAAAACCACTGCCCGTAGTGTCAGTTACACCCCATGTAAAGTTTAGGAAGTAGAGGGACAAAGGTAAGTGAAGAGGGGATTCCAAGCACATTGAAGTTCATTAATTCTATTATTCAAAGAGCAGCTGCAGTACATTTTTAAAGGGAAGCTTGTTAGGCAGCTTCTTCATGAAAATAAGTGATCGATTCAAGTCGTTGAGGAATGAGGGATGGGTTTTTTTGCAAGGTGTGATATTGACAAAGATGTAACGTTGTTTTGGAAAACTGCAGAAACGCCAGTTGAAAAACATTTGGGAGAGAGCATGGAAAATGTTGCTTTGAAAGTCAAAGTAATGTTAAAAATGTCAAGTGCCATTTTTCCTCTCAAGGGTTAAGGAGGGCAGATGTCAGTAACAGCCATATCAAAGATCACTGCGTTCCCTTTTGGGCAGTGTATGTCCGATAACCCCCTCTCCCTAAAGCTATCCTGCTGTTGAAGTTGGGCATTACTGTGGTACTTGATTGGTATCTGTTGGTATGATGTAGGGAATTTACAGGGAAACCGTTAATACCATGTTGTCCACACTGGCATTGTCTTTCCCTCTGCAGTCTTTAGCAAAGGACCAGTGAGCTGTCGAGATCAATATTGTGCATCAGAGTCAGATCCCCATTTTCTCTTAGAGTTAATAGACTACGTTTGCCTGTTTTCGAGTCCCAGTTTTTCTTCTTTTGGAAAATTCTGCGCTACCCATAACATTACTGATTCTTTACATTCAGTATGTTATCACGTAGGCACAAAACTGTTCAAAACTTACAGAAGTTCACAGTGCTTGGGCACTTGTTATTAGATTATTGTTGATGGCTATGCTATCGCTGTTGGGAGGGTAAATTTGCGAGTGCAAGGAGATTAGGGAGGAACAAATGTGCTCATGCAAAGCTACAGTGGCTCTCTCTTTCGTGCACTGTTCTGCTGTATCCAGAGTTGAATTTGCCTTTTGAGTTGTAACAATATACAATAAGCTATACTATAACCGAATTATGAAGGGGTAGTGCCACAGCTGTGGGCCTGTTGTCATTTTAAAAAAGAAAGCAAATCTCAGCCTGATCAAATTACTGTCAGACTTGCTGCATGGTAAGGAGCTGTGCTTGGACAGACATCTGCCTGTCATCAGAAACAGATGGGCAGTCAGAAGGGGATAATAAGAGTGTATGGAGGGACGCCTCATGTTGCTGGCCCAGCATGTCCTGCATGGGGGAGAAACAGAGGGAGGTTTCAGGCAGCCAGTTTCCAGGCACCATTTCTGCTTCACCCAGGGCGCTTCTCTTCTTCCCTTGCTTCCTCTCTGCTTCTGTGGGATCAGGTTACACCCAGCCATGAGTCTTTGCTGAAAGCTCATTTGCTGTAAAGCATGCATTATCCTACCAGTAAGATTACACATTATAGACACTGTTGATATGCTGTTTGCAAAGCACCTGGAATGTCAAGGAGTAGCTTGATACATAAATAGCTACATAAGTAGCTTTAATACATAAAGGCCGCCTGATTTATGTATTTTATTTGACTATTATACTTTTTTTCCTTGTTTAGTTTTTAATCCTGTAGGTTTAGTCCTTGTAATTTGCACTGTTTCTGTTCACTTTGCTGACTAACGGTTGTATACACTGAAGGTGAGAAAATCAGAAGACCATCAGTGCTGTGCAGCTGTCTTCATTTTAAGCAAAGGGTTTCTAGCACAGGATTTCAGAGTGTTACACAACATATATTCACTTCTCCTGCCTCCCTTCTGCGTAGAGTGTTTGGAGACGTTAGTATTTGCTAGAATACTTGTCCTACAAAGGAAACCACCATTTAAAGGGGAACTGCAATGCTCTTTTCATATTTCGTTGTGAGAAAAGAAAAGGGAAATGATGGGTGCATTTCAAACCACCGTAAAAGTAAAATATACACAGTAGCTTGTAAAACCTCCGATTTACATCACAAAATAGAGTACATTTCCAGGTTTGCTCAGTGCCATGTTCTGCAATTCAGAAGGAGGCGCCGGGGGGTCTGGGGACATGTCGCGGCCCTGTGACATTGTAAACACACAGCCATGTGAATATGCCATGAGAGGGAACTGGAATGCGAGTTTGCAACAACATGGCAGCTTACAGTACCTTTCACCAAGTTCACAATTTTGGGCTTAATTCCAAATGTGTACATTTTTTCTATAAGGACCACAAATGTATTTTGTTACCAAGATTTAATAACCCGGTGTGAGAAATTGGGACTGCATTTCCCCTTTGAGTGCAAAAAGAAGGCAGAACCTATGTAACCAGATGACCGACAGGGGAGATTCTGACTTGACCTAACTGTAAAATTCCCTTTAGGCAGACTGCAGGAGATATCTCCTTACATCAGGCCAGAGGTTAAGAGCACTGATGCCTACTACAAAGGCAGGAGTTCATTTTCCTCTCATTCCTGCTAATACAGCCACAAAAGTTCTGAAGGTTATTTAGGAAAAAACATTTTTAAAATGTGTGTTTTGAATCAATCTATAAAAAAGTATTGATTCTTCAAAGTAAACTTTTTTAAGTGTTCAAACTGCCCCTCCCAAAGCCAATTCTGGTACTGAAAAACTACCATCACCGTCAAATGACTATCTCTCTCAGAACTGGCAAGGTTTAATAAGTTTTTTAAAAAGGTTTAGCAATGTCTCTCATTGCGCTTATTATTTCTGACCTGCTTGAACTTAAGGACTGCGGCAGTCCTTCTGGATTTGCAATTAAAACTGCAAGATGAGGAGAGATTGGCTTTTTCAATACTCAGTACTCTATACTTGTGTCTCTGTGACTCTACCTGCTATGAAGCTGTATAATTTTGAGCTAATCCTGCACTCTAGCCATCTTTATCTTAATGAGCTTCCGATGCAGGACTTCATCCAGCCCCTGAGCCTGTCTGCACACAGCCCCCTTCCAGAAGAATGCCCTTGATTTGAACTATCCTGTCTTTTTTTACATTTGAAAATAATGCGCCTTAGTGCTTTGGAAAATCTTTTCGGTAATTGTCCACAATAAGCTGAGCGAAATGTGTTGATTAAATTTGCTTGTTCCTTGATTATGTGAGCACAGTTTTTAAAAACCCCCATTACTTGAAAACACAACTGCTGTCCTACATGAACCTCGCTGCGAGTTGGATGTTAAACCATTTAAAGACGAGCCTTTGCTTGCCTTTTGCTGAGTGAGCAGTGGGTGTGTTCTGCTCTTGTTTGCAAGAGGGAAAGGAGTTCAGTGTTGTCGGGTTAGTTCCCAGAGGAATGTTGCTCAGAGGCACCAGAAATGCACACACCGTTTGTCTTAGACGAAGATGTGTACTAGTGGGTGAATAGATTGGGATTGAAGTGCTAGTCTAGGTCTGGGAAAGGAAGACTCTCTGGGCATCTTCCAAAAGTGTTGAACTTCAACCAAAGCCTTTAACTCCCCTGAAAACTGCTGCTGTTATGCAGAATTGCTTTAATTGCAAAGAAAGCTTCTGGTACGGGTTAATGAAGTATAGGCTGCACAAAGCATAGCTTCCAATTGAAAAAGATGCAAAGTTGCCCATCATGCTTTCTCTTTTGTCCTGTGGCTAGTTTAACTAAAAAAGTAACATAATTCAAGCACTGCCTCACAAGGAGGCTTCACAGGAAAAATATGAATTCACCTCTCTTAAGCATCTCTACCACATTTCTTTAGGGGTGCAGTATTCAAACCTGTATGCCACAGCAACTGGCTAAAAAAAATCAGTTTTGTTTTCTTGCCTCGTACGTGTGTGGACTGAGCAAGAAGGAATGAGAAAGTGTTGAAGGTGAAGCATCACAAGGCCTTTCACCTTTTCACCTTTCCACTTCCTTTTGTCTTGTTCGGTCTGCCTGGGTCAAGAAATGACTTAAAAGAAAAAGTTAAAGAAGGATGTATCCCAGGATGTATGGTAACATTTTGTGAAAGAGGGACAGAAAAGTTTTCGTTAATCAGTATTCACACGCTGTCCTCGCCTGGGGCAGCCCCCATCCATGAACACACTCTCCTGCAGAGCACCGTCACACACTGGCCACTCCCACTGGAGGCAAGCTTGAGGAAGGAGAACGAGCCACATTGGGTCTGTTCAACTCAGTCCCCTTGTAGTTTCTTGTGATCTTGAAAGGCTGAGGGTAGAAACACATTTTGCAACTGCTACTAATTGTTCTTTTTGATGTCTTTTTTTGTTGTATTTTATTCCGCATTTTGCTTTGGCGCTGCCCTTTTCTGTTCCGCCCGAATGACTGCTCTGCACCTCTAACACCGTGTCTCTTTGCTTTGCCTGGCCCCTTCTTTCTTTGTATGTTTCACTCCCCCCACCGCTGCATGACCCCGGCACGGCTCCCTCCCTCCCTCCCACCGCCCCTCCTCACCCCCCAACTCCCCAACTCCGAGCAGACGGCCTCTTCCGACCGCAGAGGGGCATGGGAAGTCCAGCCGAATCGGCAGACAAATACCTCTTACCTAACCTCCCACCTGGCAGCGGATAGGCACGGGGGATCTGTTCAGGTACACCACCATTTTGCACTGTTGTCACCCTCTGTCATTCTCAGCCGCCCTGTGGCTGGTGCCCAGCCAGAAGGTTTAGAAAGCCCAAGAGGAGTAAGTGTTCTGTGCTATGCTGCCTTGTTTCATTTTGGTTTACCTGCTTCTGAAGCTCTTTTCTAGCCTGCTTTTCGTTGAAGTAGATGCCTGTCCCCCCTTTTTTGATTTCTGCCTTCATTTCTAGCGGGGCCTTGTAGCTCTTCAGGCAGAAGCCTAAAAACTGGTCAGAAAACTCCATTGGTTTGGCTTACTCCTTCCACCTCCAGGAGCGAATCGAAATTAGATTGGAGGTGTTTCAAGGGGGCCAGTCGGCTTTCACAAGAGGGCCCGGTGAAATCCCCAAGAACAGTTACAAAATGTAAGCGACAGCAAACATCCCTGGCAGTGGAGAGGTGGCCGCGGTCATCGAGCCTCCCGTCTCTGAAGTCCGAACAACATCTCTCCTCCTTGTGTGCTTTGAGTCAGAAAGACATGTTTGTTTGGATGTACGGTGGTTTCCCCTTGAGATTTCTGTGCAGTATGATTAATTTTATTGTATTGCAAGGAGCAGTTCCCCAGAATACCACCAAGTGCTCTGTTCGAAGTAAGAACACTTTGCTTAAACTGGGCTGGTACAGCGATTTAGCTAAAAATCCCTGTGTGCCTCGGAGCACTTGTCGAGTCTCACCACCTCTCTGCGTTTTTGTTTCTGTGAAGCGGTTTGTAACGGTACTTGCCTGGAAAGCCACCATCTAACAAAAAGGTTGATTCGCCTTCCTGTCTCACACAGGTGGTCAGTTCGACCAATGGGGAGCTGAACCCTGACGACCCTCTGACGGCCCACTCCAACGCACCAATCACAGCGCAGGCAGAGGTGGAGGTGGTGGATGAGGCGAAGTATGTACTGCCTTTCCAGAGCCGTGGCAGCTGGGCTCTCTTTCTTTCTGTCCGTGCCGGGCATGTCGACCCCAGCACACCTCTTCCTTCCTGTCGAGCTTCTGCATGACTCTGTGCAGTGTTGCCATCCGTGTCGCACTCCCATTCGAGCTTGACAGGCGGAGGGTGGGTTTGGGAGTGGATGTTTTTCATCTCTCTGGTGTTGTTTTGTCATCAGCTTACTGGTCAAGGACTGGTAAACACCTGCCTTGTACTTGAAGTTCCTTCAAATTGGTTGGGAGGGGGGGGCATTGGTCAGCTTAAGCCTTCTGATTGTTTGAAAGGAAACCTGATGTTTCTAACGAAACACTAGGCATTGTCCATGGGCATCTAGGATTCACCTGGCCAGACTGAGAGTTTCTTTGGACCAAAGGTGGTTTTAGTGATTCTCAGTGGTCAACTTACTCAAGAGAACACTGCGCCTGTTGTTTGTTTATTTGTTAGCTGTTAATTCTAGGGTGCTTTTTTGTAATTCCATATAACAAGGACTGTACACAAACCTAAAGTATAACAGTTTCTGGTAAAGTTGCTTCGGATTTGTGCTGGTTCTGCCAATACTGGGTCACGTCATGTTTTAAAGAACAGCTGATCCACTGTCACGTTACTGGTACCAGTTTCAGTTGCTGTCATAACTGTTATTTCAGTAAACTATTTTTTATACACAGCTAGGGCTTCATTCACAGTGGGGGGGGGGGTTGTTTCCTGAGAACGCATTTGCACAAAACTCCTTCATTTTTTAGTTTGATGTGATAATGTGCACATTGTCACCCTTGCTTTGATGGGTAACTGAAGGTTGTGCTTTGATGCCAATACACAGAGAAGAATTAGCAAACTTGGCGCAGCAATGGGAACAAATTCATTTGCATGTCGAAGGCAAAAGTAAAAAAGGTTTCTATAGTTACAACACGGAACCTGAATATCAAATACGGACCCAGACAAAAGTTTACACCGTCTTTTTAATGCAAACAGCTTTGATAACACCGATGTTACTGCATTTCCTCTTTACCTGTCGTTTGCAGTGTTTCTGCAATAGCGTTGGGTGCACATGCAACATCAATGTGACATTTTTTCACATTTTTTTCTGTTTTCAGTGGGACTTTTCGGTGTTATAGAACCATAAAATCTAATCTGTAACAAAAGAAGGCCGTGAAGTGAAAGGAATTTGCTATTAATTTGTTTTCATGTAATTTTCTGCAGAATTTTGAAATTCTGAAGTAATTTAACAGGCTCTGGTTGACCTCTACCCTAGCCAGGAAGAAAACAAAATAGTGCAGCTCATGCGTTTCCCTGACATTTTTGAGAACCTAGAATAGTAGTAATAGTTAAAAAAAAAACCACCATCGTCCAACTTTGTTTTTTACTGCGAACAGAGACAACAGGACAATCTGCTTTCATCTGCAATGTCTTTTTCATATTGTCCTGTGTTAAGATCTTCATAGTTCAAGCAAAAAAAACAAAACAAGTTGTAGCACAGTCTTTCCTGTCTTGGATCAAGTTTTGTGTTACATCACCTGGGCTTGTTTGTGCTTTTTAGCATGTTTTCTAGTTTCTTATTCCCAGCTGCTTTTTCTGCAGTCTCCTTGAGGACAACAGATGAGGTACTGAGAAAAAGGTCATTCCAAGAACAGAGGCAGTCATGCCCTGTGGCACAACAGCGTGCAGGATCTAGAGGAATGTCAGGCAGATGAGGTAGATTGTATTGCACAGAGCCGTGCGGCTGGCTTTGAACAGGAGTTTGTGTTTAGGTCCTGCAGTGAATGATCTTGCTCATGGTACACATCCAATCACATGGAACTTGCCACTGAAACAGGAGAAAAATGCAGATAAACAGTTTAGGTTCTGGAAGAGGTAAGAACTTCTGTGCCAGATCAGAGATTTGTGAGATTTGTCTCCTATAATTTATTTCTTGCTGCTGCAGGACAGAATGCCATTCAGTAAGTGGGGGTTTCTTGAAGCTATTGAGTAATAACCAAGTTTTGTCTTTTTTCTGTGTCTTCTTTTAGATGTGTAATTTGGCAGTTGTTTCTAATTGAGCATCATAGTAACTTTGGACCAAGACTTCTGTTCTTTGAGATTAGACAGAGCAAGTGAAGAGTGAAGGAATCTGTCCAGTCTTGACAATCCAATCTGCTGATTACGCGCAGCTGTTTTGTTGAGATAATGTGCAATACATGAAATCCATCCAGAGTGTATTTAAGCCAAGCTTCCGATCAGCTCTGGATACGCTGTTGGGCAGAAGAGAAGTCAAGCTTTGATTACCACTTGAAAATTGAGACCAAGGACCCTGCTTTTCTTGTATAGAAACAAATAGCTGAAATCACACTAGCTGCAACTTTTCCTGCCACATTCACAATTCTGTAATTGATAATGTCATCCTCCAGAAGACATTTGACTGCTGTTATGCGACAGTGAATGAACTTGGTCCCTTTACTGTTTTTTTATTTTATTGTATTTCATTTTGGGGAGCTTAAGGCTCTATTCCATTTCATAACTTTCATTCTCACCTAGCCAACAGTGGACTATTTATTGTGATATATTACACATGTGACACTTTTCATTTTCAAGTAAATGACAAGACATTAGTCCTATCACGCTGCATAAAAGAAATTTTGTAATTAGTTGGCACACTTGTGTTCACCTCATGCTGGCAACAAAACGGGTACCTAAAATTTTAATTTTCCTTTTTCTCATCTGCTCCAATCCACTAATGAAGCAAAAAGTGTTGATTAAAGCAGAAGTCTGTGCTTCATAGTCATGCATCCTGTGTTTTAACATAAAAAACAGTTTAAAACATTGATGTATGAAGCAATTCCAGCATATAAAAAATTAAAAATGCAGATAAATGTGGTGTTAGTACTGTACTACAAACTCAAAGTGACCATTCATCTTTCCAGAAACTTACTGCATTTTTTCCTATTAGCTGTCACGCAAGATTCCTTCTTCCATAAGGAATGAGCATCATGCTTCAAACTGCATTAACTGCTCAAATTAGGTTTATCTCGATGTTTCCTGCTGTTTCACTAGCCCTACTAAACCTCGGCGTCAAGATTGGCGAAGTATTGCAGGTCTTCTCCCTGCTTTGCTGTGATGTCTGTGTTCCTCTGCCTGTCCTTTGTTTCTTTCTCCTCTTGGGAACAGGATTCATCCAGAGTGTCAGCTCTTGCCTAGTGTGCCTGCTCTTCGGGGCGTCTGTGCACAGAGGCACCTCTCTTGCACCAGTGACACTGTTTGTCTGTTTACCCCACATAAAAAACTTTCTCTTTGGGGCTCCCAAATGCCAAATTATCTGACAGAATTAAAGAGACTTAACTTTCTTACCATAGTAGTGTTTGTGTTTTAAGTGCCAAACCATTTTAATAATAAGATCAAAATGTGTGCACAGTCGTGAGAGGCAAACCAATGAACTCCAGGCTAAAATGTTCTTGCAGAGTTAGGGGGATGAAGGCTCTGACCATATCTGCCAAACAGCTCCAGCAATCTGGCGCATGTGACCCTGATCAGATGTGAATGTCACTTTTTGCATCTTTGAAGGGATGATTGTCAGAACAGTAATGTTGAGAACAACCAGACACCTGGCAGCCTTGTCTCAGCTGTTAAATGCAGATCTAGGGTTCTCAGTAGACCTTTGCACTTGCATCGTCAGTGATTATCAAATGATAATCAAAATCCTCTTTAGTGCAAGAGGGAACTGGAATCTGAATGGAGGACTTCAGGCAGTTTTTGTATACATTAGGAGTGTACTCCTCTTTTTTATCTGCTACAGCATTGCGGTCTTTCTTTTTCAAGAATAGCTTTACAGAAAGGGTTACAGATAGAGTTTAACAGTTTGCAGTTTGTTAGACTGAAGCGAAAGACAACTTTGTTATTATTACATATTGGAAGATGGCCAATCTGTAGATGCTTGCAGTTCTATTTGTTATCTGCAGTTGGTTTCTTTCTTTTCTTATTAATTATAATTAGCAGTGAAAGTGTTTAAAGTGGAACGCAGTGCTGTAAGTAAAATGTAAAGTAATTCCATCTGTTTGGCATAATCCCCTTCAATAATTCTAACCCTTTTAAAATGCATAAAGCAGGAAACCAAAGAGGAAACATCAATAAAACTGCATCCTTGACAGAAGCCTTTTATAATCAAGTGTTTGATTTGTACCTGAGAGACAAAAGCACTTCCAAACCGTTAGGCATTCAGAAACAATTGCAAGGAATGTCATCCGTTACGCACGCAAAATTGAGTAAAACGGATATTTACAGGCACTTTGTGTGTGAACAGGGCAGTACCTGCTGACAGAACAAGGCCTGAGACGTGTCCCTGGATGATTCCCTGTGACTCTCATCTCTCGCCCCCCTGCATGCCTGCCTCGCACAAGGACAGTCCCATCTCACCTCCGTGTATTAATCTCTCTGTCTTTTCTCTTTACACTTGCTGTAGCTGCGTGAAAATGCTCAACCTGTGGTGAGTCCCTCTCTCCAGTCCACACAAAAACAAAAAGTGGACCAGACTAGACTTTGGGGGAATGTTTGAAATCAGTCCAACACAACAAGGGAGGCTTTTGGCTTGGTTTGGCCAGCGGAGGGTGCTGAGGGATTGTTAGAGCCTTTAACACAATGTGTGCATCTACTGAGAAGAAAAGGTGGTTTTGATGTGGAGAAAGTATGTAAAATTACTGAAACAGTAAATTGGGTCTCTGAGTACCACTAATTGTCATTTTACCCTTGGTGGTTTTCACCAATTGATGTTCATACTATGTTGTTTTAAAAATAACAGGTGGCATTCCAATCTGAGCTAATTCTTAAGAATATGCGTCCACTTTTATTGCTAGCTACAAAGAGGTGATAAAATCGCTTAATAAATTTTGATGGAAACTTTATATTGTTTTTTAACACAATTTCCAGCTCTGCTGCTCTGATCTCCATTCCTCATGACACCTTTTGATTTCCCTTTTAAATTTATTACCAAAACATGAATTCTGAAGTTTCCAGAAGCAACCCATGATGGTTAGAATTATAGACCACCTATAAAGAATAAAAACTAATAAACAGCGTCCGGTCCTGGAGAGCCCCAGTCTTTAAATCATCAGTTTCTAAAGGCCTGGGATAATGTAACTAGGGTCAATTAAACAGATGGTGTGTTCAATTAAGTAATTTAGAGATCAACTGGAAAAAATCAGCATGTCCTTAAGCTCTCATGGACCATTGTTCTTCCTCGGAAACATTGCTTGCCGGATTTACTGGTAACTCCAGCAGGTGTTTGTAGCCTTTAAAGAGCTGTTGTGTGAGGCTGAGCTATAAGCATAACTGGACTGGGGGCCCTGCCATAGACACTCGCTGTGGATTGAACTTTGTTGGCCGTTGTTGGCCTGGAAAAGTAGTTAATTGCACAGCGATTATAAAGAACAGAAAAGCCCTCACAAAGAACAGAGAAAGAAATGAAATAGCCGTAAAAGCAGGGGATCTAATCTGCTGTATTCTGAAGAGGAGAGTACAGAAATTGCAATCCCTCTGCACCGTCACTCAACATTAATAGTGCTGGAACTGAAAAACACCATTTCCGAGAAGGCAACAGTTCTGGGATGAGCCCAACAATGATGGTATACAGGAGGATCCGTCATATTGCACTATATAGTGTTATATTACTGAGTTGTTTAAGGCTGCCAGTAATTTACACTGATTTTGCCTGGGCCCAAGACACTCCCATGTACCGTTTTGGTGTGAGGATATCAATCTGCATTTGGGGGCTTAAAGGTCCATTATTTGCATTGTTTTGCACTTGATGCATTGTTTAATTTGAACCCTAAGGAATTTGCACTACATACCATTAACTTTATTCCTGTGTAAAATTCTTAGATGCTTTTTGTTAACCGTAAGCTATATAAGACTGAAAAGTCCCAGAAGCAAACAGTTGTTTTTTTTTGTCACCTGTGACACCCAGGCACTGTGAGACTTCTGTGACGTGTTTTTAGGTAACCTGTATACCCCTGTGGGCTCACTTCAGAGAACTCGTCAGCTTGCCTTTTTTCAGAGGGCTACAAGACACGCGAGAGTCACTGGGGTGCTTTTTGTGTGTCTTAGTCTGGAGCTGTTCTCTTCCCACCTTGTGTGCATGTTCTTATAGTCATTTTCACAGTATCGTTCTAGTTTTCGTTTCTTCCCCATTTTGGTTTCTTTGTGTGTTTTCTTTAAAAGACAACTAAGTGCTTGTTGACTAGCAATCAAACGCTGGAAAAGCTCTTGTGGGAAGAGCAGAGAAGGCTACAGGTGCCCATGAAAGTATTTACAACCAGCCTTGTTGCACATGTGGCTGAAGAGAAGCCCTCACATAGGTAGCTGCTCTCCATCATTGCACTCAAAGATATATATGTATGTGGAAAATCAATATACGTTTTATTCATCTAAACATCTTTCAAGTTCCCAAGACAAATTTAGTCCTCTTATGTTGGAGGAAGGCCACTAAGGCAAGTACTTCACACTAGGACATCTGTGGAGGGATCTTAGTGTTCTTTTCCAGGAATTGTGGGATTGTGGTGTTTCTGGAGCAGCATTTGAAGGTGATTAATGATCTTTAAGAAGCAAGCTTTGGGTAGATGCCTGCAGAGGCTAATTATGTTGAAAGGCAGACTACGTTTCTTTTGGGTGAAAATGTTTCGGGACCCTAGACATAATTTTTCTGTATTTTGGGGGGGTTTGTGGGCCCGAAGATTAATTTAACAGGCAAAAAGCTTTGATGAACCATCTTACTTTCAGTAGAGAGCACAGAGAGAATTGTGATTATGAAAGCCTGATGTATCACTGTAGGTAAGGTGCAGGGTTACTCGTGTATTGCAGAGTCGTGGGTTTTGTCTTTGGAATGCTACTTTCCTCTTCAAACATGAGTTTCAGATTGCTTCTAGTCTGATATCACATCATTAGAGTATACAGCATGTCATAGGAGATGGGTAAAACTGAAGAAAACACCTCTTCAAAATGCCCTCATCTTGCACAGAAATGTAGCTGATGAGATGGAAGCCTTCTATTCTCTGTCCTCATACCACATACCCTTTTTGTTTGGCATGATTTTGGCAACTACTTAGTGAACTTTAATGCTAAATAATTTGGGCACTATTGTAAACCTCACATGGCCTTTTGAATGAAGAAACTGATGTTTTAAAACCCTGTATTTGATTAAAAAAAACTTTGACTGTCTTCCCCTCTCCTGTTTTTGGCAGTTAGTTGATAAAGCATAAATATAAAATCATATTTACAAAATGTATAGGTGGTAATGCCCCACCATGCCCTTCGGCAGCTGAGTCACTACATCATTGCATGGCCCACGGTATTTGAACTGGTGAGCAATGAATGACATGCAGTACAGTCTGAATTGATGCGCTTTCCATACTGTTCAAGTCCAGTAGATATCGGGCCATTGAAAACGTCCAGACTCCTGCACTGCTGCTGTTTCGCAGGTCTTTGACTTTGAGCCGGTCTGGTTTTACAGGCTCGTTATGGGGCGCCGATGTACTAACAGGCCTGTACGTCCTTCCTCAGGTGCTGCTGCTTCTTCAAGAGGAAACGGAAGAAGAACACGCCGCGGCACAAATAATTCGAAATGGAAAAAAACCGAAAGGAGAGCGAGGAAGACAACAGAAAGTTCTTAAAACCGCCTCCAGGGAGACTCGTGTCCCAGCAGCTTGCACAGTCGATTGTTCTCGTCCCCCGACGGGAAATCTTTTTTTCAACGCTTCAGAACGGATGACTCGTCCCTTCACTTCTGTCCCCTCTGCTGGGTTAGAGGAGCGCCAGCACACTCAGGCGGGACTGCACTTCTTAACTCGCTCTTTCCTTTGTCTCGCGTTTCCAGCGGAAAGCGCCAGCTCTCGACAACCGCTTGGGTTTTTGTGGGTGTCGCTGGCGGTGCGGGTGCCAGCCCGTCTGCTGCAGTTCTGACGGAAGGGACTTGACATGGGACCTCTGCTCCCCTGGCTTGTTCCTGCCTGCCTCATGGCCGCTTTGGGCATGAGGGGGTTCATCCCAGGACCCCTCTGTGTGTCCCAGGGCGGGGTCATGTCCTTGTGGGGAGGGGGGAAACTTGATGCAAAAAAAGTCGACATTTTTTTTTTTAGGTTGGGTAGCAAAAATACTGTGAGAACTTTGTGATCTGCTGTCTCCTTTGTTTTCTTTCTTGTTTCTTTTGTTGTTGTTTTTCTTCGGACGTATTGCTATTTAAGGAAATCAGGGGCTGCTGTCATTTTCCTTTTGCTCGATGGCTGAGGAGGTTATTTTGATTTTTATGTTTTCGATTTAGATGTTCATTCATCGTACTGTGGTCTTTGAAACGGTGGTCTTATAACCAGAGCCTTCAGCCATTTTTAGGCCTTTGGTATCAAAGGTAGAACTTATCTCATTTTAGGTGTCCGGTAGAACTCACTGATGTGAAGCCTCTAACCTCGATAAATGCTGTTGCAATCAAACAATTTTTAATTCAGGAATTCAAGAAATCCCCAGAATGACACGAGGATAAAGCTGTTAATTTCTCTTCCTGCAGAATTTCCAAATTATGGGGCTCAAAGGAAAATTTTAACACTGTGTGAGAGCTTCAGCTAAACCCAGGACTGTGCAATCCAGCAAGAGCAGAGTGTTTGAGTGTACAGCTCTGAGAAAATGGAAGAAACGACATCATTGCTCAGAAGAAGAAAGAGACAAATCATAAAGGCATATGATGTTCAGGAATAGAGTGCTTCAGGTATAAAATGTACTGGGAAGCATTCAAAATGCAAGAGTGCCTCACAGTATATAAATCTCTAAGGAGATGTGTATAACAGAAGGAATATGAGTGGGGGCATATTGTACTTTACTTCAGCTTGTTAGAAAGGCTGTAATTTTCAGATCCCAGAGTGCGTCCGAGGGTTGGGGGTTCAAAAGGGGAAGCAGACTGATGACGTTCGTTGTTTTCTGTGGGAATGGCGACGGCGAGAGGCCAGGAGGAGTGGTTAGCTGAGGGTTGAGGTTGGAAGCTGAACCAGTCTCTCGCACACTGTCTACACTGCTTGTTTCACAGCGCTCCTGCGTTCTTGACTGCCTGTGCCACACTGTGTGTCTGAGACACTGGCTGACTGGACAGTAGATCTGTGGACTGTAAAGTGACATTTCACCCTTTGAGCACTACCACTCTCCCCTCACAGCAGTCTGATTCTGACTACTGTGACCATCATGCAGGATACAAGGGCTTCGTGGGTGAAATAACACAGCTCCTGTAAGATCTCATATTTCCGTGCTGTGTTACTATGAGGCTAAAGGGTTCCTGATAATGTCTATAAAGTTCAATAGGTGTGCCTCTTTTTATAAAGTAGTTTAAAGCCAAAAACTTTGGCTGGCACCTTAGGTAGACATAGTGGTGTAGTTTATAAGAGGCAGTGAAACCCTACAGGTGTTTGAGTAAGAGTTGCCTTCTGCCCATGGTAGAAACCTGTAAACAGGTTATAGTCATAATCGGGCATAGTTTTCTAGGAGGATTTGTTCTTTTTTTTTTTTACTGCCCTAGACTGTCATTGTTTGTTAGACTGCTCCCTTTTCCTGATGACAGATCTGATAGCTCGTCGTCACAGGAGAACCTGCACCCCACCCCTAGCTCGTTTTAAGCAAGGTGAGGCCTCTGAAGGCCCTGGAGATCACCCAGAGCCCTGAGAGCCATCTAGTGGTTCAGTCTTGGAAGAGCTCTGCCACTTGTCCGCAACATTCTTCTTTTCATTTTTTGACAAACATTTACTCTCTGTCTGTACTTTCACTCCCAGTTTTTGGATTCTTAATCACCAGATCTGTGAGTAGCAAAAAACTAATTAAGAGACCTATTTCAATGTATATCTACGGTTCCAATGTTTTTATTATGACGATACAAGAAGCATTCGTGCTTACTTAAGACTTGCCTAAAAAACCTAATCCAATCATTTTTTTATAAGTATTCTTTCCCAAAATATGTTTTTTCACTTAATCTTGGGAACAGTTTACAGACCAGTAGAGCTGCATAGTACATTACACCACCAAAGCCTGTTTGTACTTATACATTCTTTTCCCTAGAATGATCCGTTCCTGTGTTTGGGATATTCCATGCTTTCTCCCTGAAGATCCCTGTCATTCTGTCTTGAAGTGATTTCCACGGATTTCCAGCTGTCTTCTGACTGTAGCTAGCAGTTTATAACTCTTATCCTGAACAGCGACAATGTGTAACAATGCCTTTTCAGCAGATTCCTTCACAAATGGACATTTCAGAAGTCTTTCATATCCCGATTTATTTTCAGACTGCTTTCCAAAGCCAGAATGTCACAGGCGAAGGACCTTCTCGATGTGCAATATTCCTTACTGCTGTAGAGCCCAGTGTTTACACTTCAGCCTAGACTAAATCCTGTGCTGTAAGCAATGTCTGTAACTGCCTTTATAATGTTTTCTTCATCACAGCAAAAGAAATACCAATGACTCCATGCTGTGCTGTTTTAACCTGAATTGTACTGCAAGACCAGGACTTCGTTAAAGCTGGACTGACTAAAATCACAGGAGAAGTGTTGATTCTGGAAGTTTATATATATGTGTGTGCTCTATTTGAAATGCACCACCTTTCCTGCTTTGAATTACACTTCGTAATGCCTTAACCAGGGCACCCACATGAATTCTCCCTTGGAGGGTGTTCATACAGTGCACATCTGGAATTCGCCTCCCGCAGAGAGATGGCAGGCTGTCCTGTACAGAAGGCCCGTCAGTGCCTGAACGGAGTGTCGGAGAGTGGTGTTCAGCTTGAGGAAAGAGGCTCAGATTCAACACATTTCACAGCAGGCATTGAACGTGGCTCTTGGAGGCGGGGGTAGGGAGCAGGATATAGTAACAGCCTGAGAAGGAGAAAAGTGAGGCAAAAAGCTAATGATACCAAACTCAGTCTTCTACCAAATTCTGAGGCATCTGGGACTGCTGGCGAGCAAAGTCCTTGTTCCGTTCTCATTGTTTTTTGTTTTTTTTTCCTGTGTTCAGGAATTCTACCGTGGATCCACTAATACATACGATAGGTTGAAAGCCACTTTTGTGTCGATGGAATTGTAGTGTGTAGACGTAGGGCAGCTTACAGTTCAGTTCATCTTGTTAATCTGTAGTGTGAAACAAAAGGAAATTTGTGAAACAGGGAGGGATGGGGAGGTGTGTGGGGGTGGGGGTGGGGGACAACTGTTGGAAATTAGCTTTTTTGTCAAGTTTCCTTCTCAGAAAAAGCAGGGGATGGCCTTCGAATGAATGCAAAGTACTCAGTGTACATAGTGACGATGTTGCCTTCCTTTTCTGTCTCTATTGCAGGATTCCAGCATTAACTCCATGGGCTGTCTTGACATTTTAACAATATATTCTTAATGTGAACTTAAAAGTGTATAATATACTGTAGTCTTTCTATTCTTTAGTTTTTCTATTTTTTTCTGCTCATCCAAAAAGCCATGCTTTTATGAACTGAAACAAACAAAAGCTGGTGAATTTGACTGCACTACATTTCTTTGCTTTTTGTTTACCTGATCAAAGATGCCAGTCTTGTTGTGTACTGTAATCTTGTGAGTCTGGGCACGACTTAAACCACGTTTTTAGGCAAAAAAAACATGGAATGGACAGAATGATTCGTTTTCATGAAATCTAATTTACCAAAATGCTTCCTTTTTATTACACCCTTATTTTTAGCATATATATATATGTGTGTGTGTAATTATTTATATAGGTGAAAAAACGCTAGCCTGTGAAAGTCACCTCCTGGTGGGGTGCTGGGATGAGTATCCTGTATAGACATGTTGGTACCTCTTCATAACAGCCACAAAGTGTTTCACATACTCAGTTTTCATTTTCAAAGTCCTGTTCAAAGCAGGACGAACTGTACATGTGCACAGCTCTGTATGACTAGGTTTATTTGTTTTCATTGTAGCTTTCTTCCTTTTTATTTCTTTATTTGTCACTTATTTTGTCCTTTTCTCTTAAGTCTTAATTCTGTACGACTTGAATACAAAAAGAAATGAGGCGTCAGTTTCTTTGAGTATGGTGTAGTACAACTTCAGAAAACTGCTTGCAGCAAACAAAATGCTCTTTAGTAATAAGAGGTTCATTGAGCGAGTCGTGTTGTAATGCGCAATGTTCCTCTCATCACGTGTAGGATATATGTGAAAAGGTTTTCCTGGCCTGCTGGTGTTTTTTTAATCATTTAGGCCCCACTTGACTTTTAAGTTTAAGGCTGCTGCTATTGGTTATTTTGAGAATTTTCTTAATTTCTGTGATTCCCTCTTTAGAGGGAGAAGTAGGCAGAGCCAGCCCCCGAGGTAATTCTGGCCCTGACCCAGATCAAACTATGTTCTTGTCTTTAAACATGTGTCAATTGCAGTATAATGAACACCATTCGATTCACTTTTCAGAACTGCTTCGTGACAAGCAGAGAGACTGGAAAGGGGTGTGTCTGAGGGTTTATTTTTTTCCCCGCTTGGTAAGAAAAGTCTGGTTCACTTGTTAGCATTGGCCGTCCTCCACTCACCCTCCGATCAGAGGGTTGTGCCCATTTCCTGCCCAGGTGTTGAATTCATGTGACCAGAGGTCATCCAGGGCTGTCACCTCCTGCCTGCCCTGTGTACTGCTGTGGCTGGACATTGATAGTGTGCATCAGCTTACCTTCACTTTAGCTGGCTTAGATGGATGTCAAAACCAGTACTATACGACGACCCCTTGATCTCCGCCACCTGCCTTCGCCAAATACGTTTCCGACAAGAGTCATTTTCCAAGAGAAACATGCCTGTGTTCTCTAATCATCTAAGCTACTGATGTCTAAGCAGGGCCTTGTTTTGCAATCTTCTAAGGACAGGCAGCCATGACACTGGAGACTCCTGCGACTGCAGTCCAGGCTTCGTGTGCTTTTAAAAGACGCCTCCTGTTCCACGCCTCCTAGGCTCCAACAGCGCATCTTCGGAGTTTCGGAGCCCACCGTTTCATTTCGCGTGGGTGTTGCTCAAACACGTCGCCTGGGTTGGCCGGAGGCAGCGCGGCACGAAGGAATTCTTGGCCGTGGGTTGATGCCTTTGTACACTTTCATTCCTGGCTGCGAGTGAAATTGCGCGCAAGCCCGGGACCGCTGCCGTAAAAACAGGAAAACAAAATCTCGTAAAGGTCGTTTATTTTGTCTTCGGTTTCTCCGGCCCTTTTAACAGTCCCTTTCCTGTACTTTATCTCTTATCCGGGTTGGGTGAGGGTAGTTACAAACCAAGACTGCAATATTTTTTTAGTTGTAAATTGTACAGAATTCACCATTGTATGTTTGTTGTTTTTTTTTTAATCAAAGGACTCCTTAAAAGAGAAAAAACGACAACCTGTTGATTCAGATTATTTTGTATGTTCACGCAGAGGAGAAGTAAACAATGTACAGAACTACAGGGGTTCGGCCTGTCTTTTTTTCTGGCACTGGTTTCCAAACTAAGGAGAAAATAACTGTCTTAAAACTGTATTATGACGACTATTATTGTGCTGAATATGAATGTTACTTAAAAATGTATTTGAATGGTTTAACCTGGTAAAGGGCTGCATTTGTGAATGACCCATTTCTTATTGTTTTTTGTTAATTTACAGAAAAAGGTCCTGATGGCTGTCTTAAAATGCCTAGTCTCCAGGGCGTCATGTGAAACATCACATGTGACCTTTAAAAATTACACTTTTTATTCCCTCCGCATTTAAAGGGAAACTCAAGTTTGCACCCTTTTTTATGTAAAATAAAAAAAAAAATCTCTTAACCTTTTCTGCGTTGTGGTGTGCCTTTTTTCAATACCGAAGTATGGATTCTGAAAAGAGATCATAAAATCAGCCTTTCCTTCTCACATATCCTGTTTGTTTGTTT